TATGGCAGGAAGCAAAAGGGGCATCTTTGAAAGCTCATATCTCAGTGAATAATTTTTTTTGAACAATGGGAGTTGCCACACTTCATTAAAAAGTTCAGGCAATCACATTAAGCCAATAAAATAAATATGTCAAAAAACCGTTTCAGTTACCCTTTAAGGATTTACGGTACATGTAAACGTGTTATCTCTAGTTTGAGCTGATTAAAGTCAAAATTAAAATTTTTAATGAATTTTAAAGCTACTCCAAAAGGCATGCACTATTGCTTGTAAGCTCATGAAGTGTGCTGTTTAGTTCACTCATGCTTTACAGGAAACCCCAGTGACAATATGTTATTATTTTTATGACACAACTACTACTTTCATAGTTCAACAGCAGTCATTATCTCTTAAACCAGCAACTTCTCTGTTTTAAAAGCAATCATGTTTCTGTTTCATGCAAAAACATATCAAAATAGTATTTTACTCAACATGGCATAATTATTGTACTGAGTCTATTTCTACAGAAGGAGTGTAATTAAATGATTGGGGTTTTGTCCAGGTCTGGTACAGGTACATTACATGTACATGTGTTGCAATAATGATCTGATAATATACAGTACATATACATTCAAATGTACATTCAGCAATTAATAGAAAAATAGTTTTAATCAGGTGCTTCCTGTAAAGCACTAACAATTTTTAAGGGCATTATAACAACCAAAAAATCAATTTTACACCGCCATACTAGCCATCACATTTCATTTACTAAAAGTACTAGCTGTTATTTGAACCAGCAGAGCAGGGTATTTTTGTGAATAGGGATACATAGAAGAAAGCTTAATTGATTGCACAAAAGAAATTTGACACTACTAAGACAAAGGTGTAGGAAGATTAAGTATATGTTATTACACCCCTGCGAGTGCAATATCCGATTTACAAGCACCGAGCCCGAGGGCGAGGTGCTTGTAAATCGGATATTGCACGAACATGGGTGTAATAACAAATTTATTTCCAATTGAAGCTATACGGTACACGCACTGAAAACCACTGAATGTGAAAACCACAGTGCACTGTATCAAACATCAAAGGGATTTACATGCACTCAGTGCACTATATCTGGTTTATTGCACTGGCAGTCCTTTGAAGTATAGCTGGATGGGAAATAATGATGATTAAGTGATAAGAATTGGTAAACTCAATAGAAGAACAATACAATATATACAAATGAATGTTATAGCAATAAGGAGGAGCCTAAGGCTGAGTCCTATTCCCGGCCCAGTTCATACTTCCTATGAGCATAATCTCGTCAAAAAAATAAAAGTTTTGTCCATAAGCAAGAATGTAAGTTATGGTATTACTCTAATTAATGTTTGAACACAGAGGACATTCAGCCAATCACATATAATTTAAAATGCAGCCACATAAAAAACTACTGATACAAACAAGTGATACATGAATAATTATTAAATCTACACATACAATAAGAAAATAAATATACAATAGCCTATTTATGATACACACAAGTATTACACTGTAACTGGGATACATGTATCTTTCAATTACTAGACGAATGTAAAACATTAAGGGGCTCAGCCCCCTAGCCACGCTATATTTTAAAGGTTATATGGTATAGAGCTACATTATTGTACATGTACATGAGTAAATACAGTAGTTTGTAAGTTTGTAATGAAGTCATCATGCTTGGAAATACAAATTTTCTTTATCAGTTTATCACATTCTGCAGCAAAAAAGTTGTGTTGGAAGCCAGAGACAGTAACTGCAGTCATAGGTTATGTCCGCAGTAGTTGTGGAGGCTTTACAAGCTCACAACTGTGGCATATCTGCCTTCTTAATCTTTATTGCTGTATTTGGAAAGTAGTAGAGACTTCTCTTGCATTCTTGCTGACTCAAGTGAGTGACTTGTAACTTATAAGATCAAGAACATGAAGAACAATGAAGAATTGATAGCTAGCGCCATTTTATTTCACTGTGACCACACCCGTTTTCAAAGAAGATTAAGATTAGGTTATTAAAATAGGAAAATTTTTCATACGGATAAATAGGGGTGACGTACATGACAAACAAACA